GAGGAGGAGGAGGAGGAGGAGGAGGAGGAGGAGATTGGATTTATACCCCGCCCTTCACTTGGAGTCTCAGAGCGGCTTACAAACTCGTTTCCCTTCCCCTCCCCACAACAGACACCCTGTGACGTGGGCGGGGCTGAGAGAACTCTGACACAAACTGCTCTTTTTCAAGGACAGCTGTGCCAGAGCTTGTGACTGACCCAAGGTCACACCAGCAGCTGCAAGTGGAGGAGTGGGGGAATCAAACCCGGTTCTCCCAGATTAGAGTCCGCGCACTTAACCACTATACCAAACTGGCTCACACAAAAATGTGTGAGATAGAGGCTAAAAAAACCTGTGAGCTAGCTCACACTGACTCAGCTTAGAGGGAACACTGGTCCCTCCCCTCTCCAAGCCCTGCCCTCCTCAGACCCAATCCCCAAATCTCCAGGAATCTCCCAGCCTGGAGGTGGCAACCCTATAAACAGAGGCACATACGAACAGTGCAAATTAAGCCAACGAAGGAAGAGAATTCCTTTTCGTTTGGTGCGGGATTCCTAACGTCCCTCTTCCCAGCACAGAACGACCCAGAACTGTTTGCGATCAGCCCCATCTCGCGCTCTCTCTGCGTATCTCTCGATCTCGGCACTCACCACAGCATCCACATCCGCTCCATGCTCCAGCAGAGTAAGAATCACGTCATGGTTAGAGGTGGCCACGGCGACATGGAGGGGGGTAAATCCTGAAAGAGAACAGGGGACATTCCAAAGCTGGGAGTTTACACCTGGGGTGCGGGGAAGTCATGGCGCCCTCTCTTCCCCATTCAGGGCCGTAGCCAGGGTTTTTTCGCTTTGTAGGGCAATTTCTTTCCCTTGTGGGGCACCCATTATGCTTATAGGTAAAGGTAAAGGTTCCCTTGCTCGAAAGCCAGTCGAGTCCGACTCTAGGGTTGCGGTGCTCATCTCCGTTTCAAAGCCGAAGAGCCAGCGCTGTCCGAAGACGTTTCCGTGGTCATGTGGCCGGCATGACTAAACACCAAGGCGCACGGAACGCTGTTACCTTCCCACCAAAGTGGTCCCTATTTATCTACTTGCAATGTCTTGCTTTCGAACGGCTAGGTTGGCAGGAGCTGGAACTAGAGACGGGAGCTCACTCCGTCATGCGGCACACTTGGGTCTCGAACTGCTGAACTACCGACCTTCCACAGCCTGCAGTTCAGCATCTTAACCACTTGAGCCACCGCAGCTCCATGCTTATGCTTATGCTTAAATATAATAAATAACTGGAGATTTTGGAGGTAAAGCCTGAGAAGGACAGGGTTTGGGGGTAATGGGATGTATCAATGGGATGTATCAATGGGATGTAATGCCCTAGAGTCCACCTGGAGATCAGGGGTAATGCCAGGGGATCTCCAGCCACCACCTGGACACTGGCAACCCCAGGAGAGACAGAGTGGCTTCCCCCACCATCACCATCACCATCTACCTTGCAGCTTCTGGTCAGTTTCACTGAGGGTTTAACCAGAGGTCATTTTGGGGGGGATCGCGGGGGATCGCAGTTCCCCCGGGTGAGGTACGGGGGGCGGGGCACATGAC